CACACACACACACACACACACACACACACACACGCAGCACGCACACACCTCACGTCGTCTTAGTCCATTCACCTGTCAGTGGACACTTGGACTTTTTCTGGAATTTGGCTATTATAAATAACACTGCAGTAAACGTAAGAGCACATGCCTCTGAATTACTGTTTTTCTTTGGGTAAATATTCAGTAGTGCAATTCCTGGGTTGTAGGGTAGTTCTATTTTTAATTTTTTGAGGAACCTCCATACTGTTTTCCACAGTGGGTGCACCAGTTTGCATTCCCACCAACAGTGCACAAGGGTTCCTTTTTCTCCACATCCTCAGCAACCCTCATTTCTTGTGTTTTTGATTTTTAGCCATTCTGACAGGTGTGAGGTGATACCCCGTTGCAGTGTTGATTTGTGTTTTCCTTATGATGAGTGATGTTGAGCATCTGTTCATGTGTCTGTGGGCCATCCGTGTGACTTCTTTGGAAAAATGTGCATGTCTTCTGCCCATTTTTTAATTGGATTATTTGGGGTTTTTTGGTGTCAACTTGTGGAAGTTCTTGGATTTTGGATACTAATCCTTTACCAGATACATTTGCAAATATCTTCTTCCGTCCCGTAGGTCATCTTTTAGTTTTGTTGGCGAAACTTTTAGTTTTGATGTAGTCCCAGTAGTTTATTTTTGCTTTTGTTTCCCTTCCCCCAGGAAACCTGTGTAGAAAGATGTTGCTATGGCCGATGTCAAAGAAATTGCTTTCTGTGCTCTCTTCTAGGATTGTTAATGGCTTTGGGTCTCACATGTAGGTCCTTGATCTATTTTGAGTTTATTATTGTTTTTAATTTTATTTATTTGTGAGAGAGAGCACGTGTGTGTGCACACATGAGCAGGAGAGGGGCAGAGAGAGAGGGAGAGAGAATCCCACGCAGGCTCCATGCTGTCAGCGCAGTGCCCAACATGGGGTTCAAGTCCACAGAGCGTGACCTGAGATCATGACCTGAGCTGAAATCAAGAGTCAGACGCTCAACCAACTGAGCCACCTGGGCTCCCTTTTTTTGAGTTTATTTTTGTGTGTAGTGTAATAAAATAGTTTATTTTAAAATAGTTCAGCTTTCCCACCACCATTTGTTGAAGAGACTGTCTTTTTACCATTGTGTATTCTTTCCTCCTTTGTCAAAGGTTAAGCATATAATTGTGGGGTTATTTCTGGGTTTTCTATTCTGTTCCATTGGTCTGTGTGATCTATTTTAATGTGCTAGTACCATACTGTTTTTTGGATTTTTGTTTTGTTCTGGTGTTTTCTTTTTGTTTTGTTTTTTTTTGTTTTTTTTTTTTAATTTTTTTTTTCAACGTTTATTTATTTTTGGGACAGAGAGAGACAGAGCATGAACAGGGGAGGGGCAGAGAGAGGGAGACATAGAATCGGAAACAGGCTCCAGGCTCTGAGCCATCAGCCCAGAGCCTGACGCGGGGCTCGAACTCATGGACCGCGAGATCGTGACCTGGCTGAAGCAGGACGCTTAACCGACTGCGCCACCCAGGCGCCCCTGTTTTTTTTTGTTTTTTTACCATACTGCTTTGATTACTTTAGCTTTGTAATATAACTTGAAGCCTGGAATTGTGATGCCTCCA